AAAAGAAAGAGAGTAAGAGAGAGAGAGAGAGAGAGAGAGAGAGAGTAGAAAACGGGACGACAAGTTTCACGAAAGGTTGAGAACCGCTATGGGAGCCTGGGTAATAAAATGAGGGCCCCTGCCCTCCCCTGGGGGTGGGGCCCCCTCGATAACCCATATTGTACCCCCTGCTTCCCCCTGCTCCCCCTTAACTTGGCCCCTCACGCCGCCGCCCCTGGCCGTATATACTCCGATCGGCTGTGAGAGTTTTGTCCAGCGTTCCACGTCAAGAGAGAAATCTTCGATGGTCTATCTTACAACGAATCGTTTGTTCGAAAATTTTCAAAAATGATGGCTCATCTCGTCACAATTTTATCAATTTTTTCATATAATTAAATCAACAAATTTCAATGGTCTTCAAAATAGGAAAGATTTTTCCTGTAAAATCGAGAGGCGGAGCGCGCGGACAATACTTTAGCAGGGACGTATATACACGATCATATACCACCCCTAGTCTCCCCACACCCCCCTAACAACAGTGGGGTGGTACAGTCACGGCGAAAAGTCGTCGGCAACCCTAGCCAATGTACAGACCGAGCAGAAGAGTTACCTAGGCTTCCTTCCTTCCTTCCTTCCTTCCTTCCTTGGTTGGTTGGTTGCTTACTTGGGCTTTGCTAGCTTAAAAGAAAAAGAGAAAGAGATAAGCAATGTTCGAAGAAATGAATGTCTGAAAAAAAATGTTGTTTGCCCTCCCACCCTTCCCCCCATCCCTCCCTTAAGAGAAAATGGCAAAAGAAGATACGAATATTAGATATTAGAAACAAAGTTGTAAGAAAAAGGGATAAATATGGTACCCCTACGTAAGGTTTAAGTGAAGGAAACCGAAAAAAAAGTCGTCCAGTGTATTTAACCCCTGTAAAGTACTCCTAACACACCATATATATATATATGTACATACACCATCTCGTTTTGATGGAGGGGTTGCTTTTTATAGTTTTGTGTCTTATTTCGAATTTCGTAAAGGGGAAGTAAAAGAAAAGAAAAGAAAAAAAGACGTGAAAAACTAAAGAAACAAAAAATAGAACTAAACAAAAAAAAAGAGGAAGAGATGAAAAAGTAAAATAATAAAAAAAAAAAGGAGTAGGAAGGGGAATGGGTTAGAGAGGAAGAGAGAAAAAAAATGAGGGGGGGGAGGTAGGGTAGGGTGGGTTGTACGGTGGGAAAGCGAATCGATGAAAAGAAATGTATTCGTCGCGAGTGGCAGCTTTAAGATAGGGTGGTCTACGTTAAAGGCGTCCGTTCGAGGGTTGGGGGAGGGGTTTGAGGACGGGGGAGGTTACCTATGTACCTGGTAACACTGGAATTATACCGGATTCTTTCAGTCTCGGACGAAATGCCGGAATCAGACTGGAATTTTGGTTAGTCGATGCCGGACATTTTTTTCCGCGCTCTTTGGTCGTCGTCGTCGTCGTCGTCCTCGTCGTCGTCGTCGTCCTCGTCGTCGTCGTCGTCGTCGTAGTCAGCGTACAAGCATTCGAGACAGAAAGAAACAGAGAGAAAGAAAAAGAAAAAGAAAGAGAGAGTGAGAGAGAGAATGAGAAAAAGAAAGATACAACCAACAGCAGCAGCAGCAGCAGCAGCAACGAATGGTTGGATAGAGATTGGTGCTAGAAAGAGAAAGAGAGGGAGTGGTATGTGTATGTATATGTGTGTTGTATATGCGCTCGTGCTCGCGCGCGCACGCGAGCGCTTATTACGACGCCAACTACGGGGGCCGATTTTTTTTCCACCGAGGCCACCTCGATCTCTCGACAAATTGAATTCGACCACCACCTCCCTATCCCTATCCCTCTCCCACTCCCTCCCACCTCCCCCTTTATCTATCTATCTATATATATATATATATATCTTTCTCTTTTTCGTGTCGGCTAATAAGAGCCAGGAATTCGATTTTTTTCGTAGCTCTTTGGTCAGGAAATAATAAAAATTAGCAGGATCGTTCTAGGGGTGGTTGGTGGGGGAGGGCCAGGGGTTAGGTGAAGATTTATACGTTGGTACAAAGGACACAGAAGATAGAAGAAACCTTTGATACGATATCATCCTCATATCTCTCTTTCATTTTCACCGTGCAACTCTCTTATCTATCTTCTGATTTTTTGATTTTATTCTTCTTTTTTATATGTCATTATTTTGTAGTATATGAAAAGAAGAAGTAACGAGAGTTTGAGAAAACAAAATATGTAGAATTGTTGTCCCCTTTTTGGGAGAGGGGGAAGGATGATCTCGATTTGTCAGTAAAGTTTTATGTTTATTCCGAATTCCTTGTATTCTCTCATTTATGATATGCTCTACCCAGCCTGATGAAGTTTTACCTGGATGAAATTAATATTCGATTTTATAATACATGGTAAATATTACCTACATAGAATGGGAATCAGAGAGAGAAAGAGAGAGAGAGAGAGAGAGATGAACAAAATCCAGGGAACAAATCAAGGCACACGGTGTGCTAGAAGCGAAGTCGAAAATGTATCGATCGCCGGTTCCGAAACATCGTTGCGGTTGGTAGACACGGATAATACGTAGAAACATATATATATATATATATATATATATATATATATATGTGTGTGTGTAGAAATTTAATGTTCGATCGAAACAACAAGAATAATCTTATACATTTTTTATATTATCTCATTGACATGCATTAGAATCGTGGAAACATTAAAATAACGATGATTTAACCTAACGTTGAATGCTACTTATGTTAGGACACCTTCATCTTCACCCCCACACCCTTAATTTCCAACTATCGATGAAGATATTTCAAATGCTAGGTGAAGAAACCAACCCTGTGTGAAAAAAAAAATGAGTCTCCATTTAGCCTGTGACAGATTTTTTGTTTAATCAAAGATGTCGGGGAAACGAGTCATATGATTTTGGTACACTTATACTCGTCGAACATAACCTAATTGTATTTGATTTACTTTCAATAAACATTTCATTCTGAAACTCTCCCCAAATCCTCGATATTTCTTTCTTTCTTTTTTTTCCTTTTTTTTCTTTTTTTCTTTCCTTTGGTATGTGTTTCTTCCTTTTTTCTATCTTTTATTTTCTTGAATCTGGTAAAGGATCGAAAAGGGGGCGCATTTGCCAGATATATCAATTTGTGCTGGAGTGGCAACAGTTTGCTTGATTTGGCACGAGCTGGCTTACGTCCGAAATAAATCTTCGTGTTCGCGCGAGTACATGCTCATACAAATACACACACATACACATATATACACATACAAAATCACAAACACGTAGGTAGATGATCCACTATGACGCGGGGATGAAGGATGAAACGGAAAAACGATTGTCCTATCTCGAATGTTTGACGGTGACGTTGACTCAACGTCTCGAAGAAAAGTTTTCCTTTTTTTTTTATTTTTTTCTTTCATGAATGAAAATCATTTTTTCTTTAGGTTAGATCATAAAGAACAAGGAAATAAAATCAAAATAGTTGTCCTAAACTCAAGTTTGACGATGACGATGAAGTGATTTCGTGACTTTTATCATTTTCATGAATGAAAATCACTTTTTCTTTTAGGTTAGAAACCATAGGAAACAAGAAAAGGAAAGAAATTTAAATATACAAATGAATGATTAGAAAATATAAAAAATAAATGATAAGCATTATTATAAAATCTATTAGCCAATGGCACACAGTAGTTGAATTAGAATATAAAAGCAAAAGTTTTCGAGAGACGGTGATGATGGTGATGGTTCTTGTGCTGTTGAATCGATCGGTTGCGATATCTTTCGTAATTTCGAGCTTCACGGATCCAGCATCGTGTCGTATCTTCTTCTTCTTCCTTCCTTCCTTCCGTCTCTGAGCTTCGTCGTCGTAGTCGTCGTGCTAGTTGCCCGGGCAACGACGTTCTTGCTAAAATTTCCACCCTCGCATTTTCTCTCTCTCTCTCTCTCACTCTTTAATTCTCTTTCTCTACTTGCAGAAAAAGTGAAAGAGAAAAACGGTATATAAGAGTATAAGAAAGATTCGCGAGCACGTTCGAAACACGTGATTCGTGATATAAAAAAAAAAAAGAAGTAAACACCAGAACCAAAGAAGTCCTATGGTTTTCCTGGTTTGACGTAAAGGGATCCAACGTTGAAAAAAAAAGTACAATTTTATTTCGTTAATCGCAAAATCATTTGTGGTGGTGATTGTGTAGAGACTTAAACAGGAAGATAAAGCTTAGCTCGATAACGTTTTCACGAAGAAAAGGCGTCCCATGTGGGGAAAAATAATAATAAGAGAATAGGATTGGGGGTGGGTGGGGGAGTGGAGCGAGATGTATATAATTGAATGAAAGCACACTGAGAACAGTGATCGCGTGTCTTTTGCTAAAGAAAGAGAGAGATAGAGAGAAAAGAAGAAAGCAAGAACGAAAGAGTAGTGAGAAAAGAATGGGGTGAGATGATGGGGGTGGGGGTGGTTAGAGGTGGGAGGACGAAATGCTATAATTTCAAGCCAGACAGTCATGCGTTATTCAGCGCCGCGTACAGACGTTCCCGACTACCCTGTCTCCACCTTCTTATCGTCCTTCGTTCTACCCCCTCCCCTTCACCAACCCTCTTTCTCTCTTTCTCTTCCCTTCAATCCCATTCCTCTGTCCCTTTTCCTTGCTTCGTTCTATCTTCCCTTCTTTCACTTTGTCTCCTTCCTTTTTTACTTTCTTTCTCTCACACACACACACACACACACGAGGTCCCCTTTCCCCACCCCTAAATCGTATTTTGTTTTTTTGCTTTTTTCTTTTTCTCTTTTTTTTTTTCGGTTTCGAATCAACCCCCATGGGGAAAATCGCCAGGATATTATTGTCATTGTCGAGAGGTGTAAACGAACTTTTCTGACCCTTTCTTCTTCGATTTTTTTTTTATTATTCTTTTATTGTTAATCTTATAAGATGTTTAAAAAAACACAGGCTTTCTTCATCTTTTAGGTATTATTATTATTATTGTTATTATTATTGTTGCAGGATAGCGACAATCTTTGGTGGGACTCGTTCGCGACAGAATTCTTCGAGGACGATGCCACGTTAACACTTACCTTCTGTCTTGAAGATGGTCCGAAAAGATACAGTTAGTATAATCCAATAATACATTTTTCTAAAAAATATTACACTTAACCAAATTGTTCAATAAACATGTACAAATGTACTTATAAAAAATACAATACGACGTTATTGAACGTAGCAATCCTATCAAGATGAATTAATTGATCAAATTGTCTCTCAATCACACTTCATCAATGATAACTCATTTAAAACAAAATAAAAAATACAATGGTCCCGTTGTTGAATGCATTAATTCTTTGACAATAAAAAAAAAAAAAACAACGAATGTAGTAACGATGCTGTAAACACATCATTAAATTTGTAACGTAAGATTAAATTGTCCTTGTCCGAATGAACCGCGAACGTTCACGATGAATACAACGACGATGAATGGGTGAAATTCATTCGCTAAGGCTACAGGTTTGAAATAATAACTCGCCACCGTGAAGAGTAATTTTGTAGTAGGTGGCTTTTAATGTCTTCCCCTGTGCTTTCGCGCTCGTGCAAACTGCTGCTACGGCTGCTGTTGCTGTTGCTGTTCGAGGATGTATGGCGACAAGGTGATTACACGTTGCTCACCGCTATCGTCCCATGCTAGCGCGAACGACAGGAGGAGGTGTACCACCTGCCTCGAATGCGAATTATCATCTTGCACTGAAAGGATCGAAAGACTTATAGTTTGTCCTGGACTTCAATAATATCATCCTACTCTACTGATTTCTTTTATCTCTTTTAAAATGCATACAACAACGCACCTGTTGTTTACAACTGATATAAAACGTATCTACATTTGTACATAAAAATTACATGTAATATGTTAGGTTAACATCAAAATCATATACAATTTTTGTCTCCCGTTATGTAAGGGAAAAGAAAATAAAGTACAACACAAATTTGATTAACCTAATACACACATACATATCATGAGATAATGTAATGTTGATTCTTTGGCTTCTTCCAAGGATGAGATCACTAACAGCCCACGTTTATCCTTTCAGCGATAGGAAGGACGCTAATACCTAGGTACTTCCGTTCGATATTTGAGGGTGGAGTAACGGAACTTTACTATAACATGAAGCACCCGAAGGAGTCGTTTCACAACACCAGTATAACACTAGACTGTGAAAACTGCGTCATGGTCACGCATCACGGCAAGCCAATGTTTACGAAGGTGAGTTTTATCTCTGTTTAATCTTTTATTTTTCTTATCTTTTTTATCTTTCTCTTTCTTTATACTTGCAATTAGTTAAAATTCGAAGAGAAATCTGTTAGTCAAACGGTATCGTTTAAACGAGCATGAAACTAATCTAGTCGGTGTTTCCGTTTTAGGTGTGTACAGAGGGTAGGTTAATATTGGAGTTCACCTTTGACGACCTCATGAGGATAAAGTCGTGGCACATGTCAGTGAGAGTGCATCGAGAGCTGGTACCAAGGTCGGTTGTAGGCATGCAGCAAGATCCTTCGGTACTCGAACAGCTCAGTAAGAACATCACCAGACAGGGTATCACTAATTCTACTCTGAATTATCTAAGGGTGAGTAACAATAACTTAGTCGAATGATTGATTATTGGAAAAGATTGTAATATCACCGAAAAATGGATACTGAATCGATCGTATTATAAATCCAACAGAGTTCAAGATGTTGTATGATCTTTCATCTCTTCTCTCCTCATACGCTTTCATCATGAGACGTAAGCACTCATGAGAGAACGTGCGCGCGCATACTCACACGTACACCTACTTGAACATATTATTTTTCGAAATGTCTTATTCGGTGTTGTTTCAAACTTTTCTACAATTTTATTACATTTCTAATATTAAATAGTTTTTATTATCATCTTCTTCTTCTTTACAGTTATGCGTGATTTTGGAGCCGATGCAAGAACTAATGTCGAGGCACAAGGCTTACGCGTTATCACCAAGAGATTGCTTAAAGACGACCTTGTTCCAGAAATGGCAGAGGATGGTTGCCCCGCCGGGTAAGAGAGGTAGACGAACAGTTGCTTTACATGAGAAGCACCAGCCAGTGGAGCCCGAACAACCCGTATCAATTTGAAACAAGATTTAATGTCGTATTGATTCAATCTAACTCGATTAAATTATATTTATACGATTCTTCTTCTTCTTCTTTCCAAGGGTATGTCGTTGACTTTTCCTTCCTTTACATTCCCAAATAAATATATCTTTCATTTTACAAAGAATATTTCCATGTGACAACACATATCCCAGTTTCTTCCATTTCTCCCAACTGAGTCGACGTTAAAAAAACCCATGGAAGGGGGAAGCAAACGGTTTCGCGCGCGAATAATTCTAGCGTGTTTCTCTGTAAAGATGATAAGAAGGAATATGTATATACATACATTTATCTCTATATATATATGTATATACGTAGATTGCTTGAGAAAGAGTGTATCGTCTGTCGATCGATGCATGGCGTGCTTGTATGTGTAAGAGACCTTTGATTACGAAAAGAAAGGTCCACAGCTGGGTAGCGAACTTGGTTTTTATCAGTGTATAATTCCGTACGTGGCCCTTAGAATGCTACATCGGGTTAACTACGGACAAGGGATGATTTACGATACTCATTCGTTTATTATTTTGGTTTTTTTTAGAATCCCAAAGGCCGGCAAGTAAAAGAAGAAAGCGAAAGGGCAGCACTTCCGGTCCGGGAAACAACGCTCCTCCTGCGCCAAGTAAAAAAAGGTCACCGGGGCCAAATTTTTCTTTAGCGTCGCAGGCAAGTTTAACAACACATCCTCGAGAATAAATTAAATGCGATTTTATTATTAAATTTCATGATATATTATTATCATTTGGCGTATGGTTGAATGTAATTTTGTTTGTATTTAGGACGTGATGGTCGTAGGTGAGCCATCTCTGATGGGTGGTGAATTTGGTGACGAGGATGAACGTTTGATAACGAGGCTGGAAAATACGCAATACGATGCGGCGAATAGTCTAGACCCACACAGTCACGACGCCACGGGTGGTCCGCCTCCGCACCCTCATCAATTTCATTCGGAGCCAACACCGGGTAACTCTTGGCCACCAGACCGTGGCCCTGGTCCCGGACCTCCGCAAGGTGGACCTGGTAGTCAGGTAATAATACAGTCTATTTTCTATTCTAAACTCAACACGAGTACTAGGTTATCTACACAGAACCGTCTTCTTAACTCCGATTTAGAGATGCTAAAGAGCACAGCTGCCCGCGCTCCTATAGGTGAGAGGCGGTAGAAGAACACATCAGAAAACCCGTGAGGTTTGTAGAGGAACGGAAGTTATAACGGAGCATCTGGTGTGCGACGTGTTACAGGGCATCCAGGGTACGCAGGGAGGCGGATCTTCGGGTGTCGCGGGTTCGCAGGATGGCAGTCAGCAGCAGCAAGACAAGAAGAGCCCCGCGGTGAGCCAGTGAGGCCAGGAGTCCCCGCGCCCTCCCACCAGAGGGCGACGGGGGCGCAAGCCCAAAAACGTGGCTCCCTAGCGGGGCGAGAATCCGAACCTCCCCACCGGCTATCTTGGCACGTCCGGTTGCGGCACGGGCTGTACGCCTGGCTGCGCTACCGGGTGCACATCTGGTTGCACGTCTGGCTCTTCTTCGGCCGGCAGGTTGTCGCACGTTGGCGTACCCTACGGCAGCGTTCCATTCTCTTGTCAGGCAACTGGCATAGCACCACCACCACAACCACCACCACCGCCACCGCCACCGAGCCATCATCATCCGGAGCATCAGCAACACCATCATCCCCATCATCCACGTTTGGGCCATGTTGCCGCGGCAGCGAGTGCCGCTGCCGCTGCGGCCGCATCGATAGGGATGGAATCTTCGGACTTGGTCGCGGTGGCTCATTACCAAGCGCAACAACTTCAGCGACAATTGTTGGCCGAGCAGTCGGCTCCGGGCACTATGCTGCCACCGTCTGCTCAGTCTACTGGTGGAGGCTTGACGCAGCCGTTACAGCAGGGACAACAAACTCAACAATCCCAGAGCCAGGATCCACTGCAGAGCTTGGTGCAACAGTTGCTCTGCTTGCAGCAGATCGAATATTTCTTCGCCCAACGCGGACACAAGTGATACACGCCTGCATACATATATACATATATGCGCGTTTAATATATATATGTATGTATGTGTTTATACATTAAGCGTTTATATCTGCGGTGTCTCTTCTACTCCTCCTCCTTCTCCATCATCGTCGTCGTCGTCATCATCATCGTGATCGCCATCATCATATCATAGTCATCATCATCGTCGTCGTCGTCGTCGTCGTCGTCATCGTCGTCATCGTCTTCATAGTCGTCGTCATTTATCCGTCGTTACCGTTATGCGACTTTCGCACGCGCTACCTCGTTTCGATAATAACGAGAGGACTTTTATAAGCGTCTACGAAATAAATTTGTATGATTGTTAAAAGCATGTGTGTTGGTGATGATGATGATGATTATAATAATGATGATGGTAATGACGACGACGATAATAACAATAATGATGATAATGATAATGATGATGATGATGATGATGATGATGACTATGATGATAATAATGATAACGTTATGATTACGACGACGATGATAATGATGATGATACTGCTGCTACTGATGATAATGATTAAATGATTATGATATGATGACGGTGATGATGATTATGATTATGGTAATGATGATGATGATGATAGTGATTATGATAATGATAATGATTATGATGCTGATGAACATAATAATGATGATAATGATTATGATTATAATTATAATTATAATAATGATTATATTATAATGATTGCGATGATGGTGCATGAATGAGAAAGACGGAGAGAGAGAAAAGGGCCGCGTGTGTCGAATGAAAAATACCGCAGATAATCATGAAAATCATCTTCTCTTTCTTCGATCGTGAACACCGCGTTTCTTCTTGCTGCTGCAATCATCAACAACGATGCTCCTGTTCGTTCGAATTTCTTTTTTCTCTCTCTTTGTTTTGTTACTTGGGTTAAGAAGAAATAAATAAATCTGTCACTTCGATCGGCGGGGAGGGGGAGGGGGAGAGGAGGGGGGTTACGAACGCACGGTGTTGTTTTCCGATTCGTGATATAAAGAAAAAGCCAAGTGATGAAAAAAATTGAGAAATATCGAATGGAGAATACGAGGAACCATCGTTTGCGTCAAAAAAGAATAAAAACACAATATGAAAAAGAAGAAAAAAAATGAAAGTTAGATAGAGATTTGTTGTGTGGTGGCTCCTTTATTAAAATAATGCGAATCGATGTGCGAAGTTTTATGGGACACCGTGCAAACATTTTTAGTGTGTTGCTGCTAGTTAAGGTGATACGCGAGCCTTGTATATTTTTCACGAGAGACTCGTATATTTAGCGTGTGATAAAATAAAGGAGAAAAAATAATAATAATAAAACAATAAAGTAATAAAATGTTGTTACGTGTGAACACAAATGATAACTTTGTGAAAGATGAAGAAAAAAGAAGAAGACGACGAATACGAATACGAAGAAGAAGAAGAAGAAGAAGAAGAAGAAGAAAGCAGACGAAGAAGACAAGACGAAGAGAAAAAAAAGGAAGAAGAAGTTAAAGAGAAACGAGGAAAACCTATGGATATTCGAATTAAACAAAAACAAACAAACAAACAAACAACAAAAAAGAGATGAGAGTTTTAATAAGAAGGAATGGGAAACGTGTGTGTGTGCGTGATTTTTTTTTTCTCCTACATTTTTTTTTGTTCCAGAAATTTTTTTTCTCTTTTAAAAAAGAAAAACAAAAAAATAAAAAATCATATTATACGAAAGGGTTGGGTTTAACGGTGGTAAGGGGGATGGGGGGAGGGGGTGATGACTTGCGCGAGGCTTGTGCGAAGAAGAAGAAGAAGAAGAAGAAGAAGAAGAAGAAGAAGAAGAAGAAGAAAATCCTGATGGGAAATAAAAAGAGTAACAAAACAAAAGAATAAAAAAAGAAAAAAAATTCGTAAAAAAAAAATTAATACGAAATGAAATTATAGAAGGGGAAAAAAAAAAAAGAATTGTTTTGCGGGGAAATAATAAGAAAAGTGGAAAAAAAAAAATAAATAAATAAATAATAAAATTATATAAATATTAAAAACAACAAAAACTAAAACTAAATAAAATTAAAATAAAAAAAAAATAAAACAAAACAAAACAAAAAAAACGCGCCCACGCGACAGAGACGATAAAAAAAACACCGCTCTGATTGCGAGCTGTGAAGAATCTCTTATCCGTCAACAGTATTGATATAATTAATAGAATAAATGAATATAAAAGAATAAAATAAAAAAAAACGTTATTGTAAGAGATAAAAAAAAAAATAATATAGTATAAGTACGTAATTGTGCAAGTGTATGCGAGTTAACGAGAAAGAACGAAAGAAAGTGGTGGTGTGTTAAAATGTATGTTGTGTGTGTTTAAATGTGCGTATGACGAAAGAGAGAAAGTTTGATTGAGTTTAAGAAAATGTGAAGATGATGTTGAAAAAAAAAAAAAATTGACACAAAAGAAAAAAAATTTGGAACGAGAGAAAGCGTTGTTTTATGTTTGTGTGTTGTGTGCGTGTGTATGTAAGAGAGATAGAGAGAGAGAGAGAGAGAGAGAGAGAGAGAAAGAAAGAATCATCGCCGTCGATTGAGAAAAAATTTTTTAAGCGTCGAGCCCGAAATCGTACGCCAACGCACAGGGGGGCCACCCTAGAATGTGTCCCATGGGCTCTTATAGTAAAAGTTTTATTCTTTTATTTTTCTCATGGTTATTTAATTTACCGTGCATGCGCGCGCGCAAACGAAAGGGATAGAACAAAGAACAACAAATGGAAACACAAATAAGAGAGAGAGAGAGGAAAAGAAAGAAATGGTGCGCGTGTGTGCTTCTTGGTGTGTGTCTTTGGAACGAATGAGAGAGAGAGAGAGAGAGAGGAAGAATTTGAAAGGTAAAAATAATAGAAAGAATTTTGCACGTTAAAAATTTAAGGAAAGAAACCTCCATCCAAAGGTTCAAACGATATTAAGATGTACTATAAATATTGTAAAGTTTATAGATAATTTTTCTTCTTCTTTTTATCACACACTATATATATAATTTTTTTTTATATATATATATATATATTTTCTTTTTCTTTTTCTTGGGCGATAAGAATGATATTGAACAATTTACGTCGAATATATATATATATATTATAAAACAAAGAAACAAACAAAAAATAGATAGGAAAGAGAGAGAAAGAGAGAGAGAGAGAGAGAGAGAGTTTCTCAAAATATTCTTAACAATTGTGTGAAGAAAAAATCCTAATTATTCTTTCTTTCTTTTCTTTGTTCGTCATTTTTATTAGAAATTATATTTTAAAACAACAGCACTACTACCCCCCCCACGTACCTAAAACTCTGCTCGGAATTATAATAATTTTTTCTTTTTTTTTTTTTTTTTTATTATTATACAAATAAAAAGGATTTATGCACTATGACGGAATTTGTAGAAAGAAAAAAAAATACACAAAAAAAAAAGCAAACAAACAAACAAACAAAACGAAAAATATATCTCGTATTTTGTTACGAATTTTTGCGTTCGACGATATATAAATTAAAATGGAAATAATAATTATGCGAAATAATGGACAATTATGGTTTTTTAATAATCAATAAGAGAGAGAGAGAGAGAGAGAGAGAGACACAGGATGAGAATAACACGGTTAATAATCGACATATTTGTTCTTTTTAAAACATTCAATCGTGTATGTATATATGTAATGTACGTATGCATGCGTGTATGAAATTTATGAATGTATGAATTGTGTTGTTTGATGATGATGATGATGATGATGATTGATTGTTTTCGTGTGTGTGCGTGTATTATTTTGACATCGATGCAACAGGAAGGAACACACACACACACACACAAATCCCATGAATACGCGCGAGAATATGTAAACGATTCCCTGTACAACAAAAGTACATAGATATACATATACATATATATATATATATACAGAAAATTCACACATACATTTTATACAAATCATTATTGCATGAAGTTCCTTGCGCGTGTTACATCGTATACGTTCCTCATTATATTTGTTCCTATTTTTGTACTACTTTACTACTATTCGTCGTGATTTACTTACGTTCCCATTTTCCTGTTCAACTGTAATTTTTTTTCCTCGTACAACAAACAACCTTAAGAAGGATAATAGAAAAGATTAAAAACAAAAAATAAACAAAATCATAAATCAAATAAAAATATTATAATCCTTTGCACTCGAAGTTATATTTTTCATTTCACATATAAACCAATTACGTACAAAGCAATTTTAATAGAAAAAAAANGTACAAAGCAATTTTAATAGAAAAAAAAAAAAAAAATAAACAATCATATTCATGTATTATATAAATAAATGACATATGTGTAATTAAAAAAAGAAAAATCACATAGTTGATATGTTGTAGACTGAATTGAATTTGTTTTTCAATTTTTATTTCTTTTTTTATTGTCTTCGTAAGCGGAGTCCTTCGAGTGCAAAGGGTTGTTTAATCATTGACCAGAAATGAAATGAAAGAAAGGAAGAAAGAAAGTAAGATAATTTTTAAATTTAGTCTAACTTATACTCACAGACATTTTTTATTGTTTTTTTTTTTTTTTTTTTGTTGTTTTTAAATGCGCTATCGATAAATGATCAAGCAAAATTTTTAATAATTAAATTTATTTCATTTATAATCTAAACAGCATTCTCTCTCTCACACACACACACACACACACACAATGTATATATGATGGTGTTTTATAAACATATACACACACGTACACATATATACCTTTTAATTATTCGATTTTTACACCTATTGTTATTTTTTATTATTAATTATTATTGATAAAAATTGAAGAAAAAAAAGCGTAGTAGTCCTCCTCTTCTCTCTTTCCTTCTTCACCACCGCCACCCTTATTCGTTTTTATCATCATCGTTGTCATCGTCGTTCGAATTTTTCTTCTTTCTTTACACTTTCTCTTTTTATTTCGATTTACCAATTAAGAACAAGAAATGGATTAATCTTTCTCTCCCTCACAAAAAAAAAAAAAAATACAAAATGAAAGGAAAACTTTGAATTTACTACGCTAGTTAAAATAAAAAGAAGAGTTTCTTATATGACCCGCCCCCTGCCCGCCCTCCTCCATTATTTTGAATCACGAAAGGATTCGATGCATTTTTATTGATCATTAAAAACCCACGTCTCATTTATTTATT